TTTCAGAGAAATGTAAAAATCAATGGGGTTTTCTTTTATTGAAGTTTCCAATACATTCTATTATCACAGATTCTAATTTTGATGTTATCCTAAGTCACAAAGGAATCAAATTCATCTCTATACATAGATTTTCTTCCAAGCTACTGTCTTTTGTATTACTTTAATCCCGAGGAAAATACTAAGGGCTATTTACTCAAGAGCTCTTAAATAATTGTCAGGAAAAAAAAAGTTTACAGTATTTTCTCCTAATGGCTAAGCATATTTTTTAAAAAGTGTGTGAACTGTAGGAGCAGAAACCTTTTACCTCATTCTCTTCTAGCTTTTTTGGGCTAGTCTAATAAGACATATTAAGAGGAAAACAAATTTAATTTTATATGTACATGAGCCCCATAAAAACTATAAGACTAAAAAATCAAACAACTTTTATAACTTTAGACAAGGAAACAGGAAATTTGTAAAGAATTGGAAAAATAAATGCATTAGGATTTAGGGTAATAAATTAGTGAGGATTAAGAAGGCTTGTTTAAAGCCATTTGGGTCCTAAAATCCCTATTTCTGGTGATAAGGATGCTTTCTATGATCCTAGAATGGATAGGTTACTTTTCATATGAAAGTTTATTTTCTGCTTTCCGGAGTACAAAGGAGGGTCAAAGTGTTGTTCTTGTACCAGCTGTTTCATATGTAATGTTAATTCAGAATAAACAGTATGCCAAAATGGCATATGTCAGCTCTCCTTCAACACATTGCAATTATATGGGCTTGCATATAAAAATGATTTCTATAGTTTTAGATTCAAACTATGTAAACAACTTTTCAGAAGTAACCCCCACCCTGACCTATCGACTGCCTACTGATATGTGGAATAAGTGCTCATTTTACACCCATTTTTTGGAGCTCTGCCCATTTCTTGGGCATATTCTTGGGAGGGGAGCTGAAATGGGAAGATGGCAGGTTAATGGTTTAGCATTTATGAAATGTTCAAGTAATGAAGATAGGAAAGCATGTGGACATATAAACTATGATACTATCCTGTCTACTAGAATGTATAATTTTTTTAAATAGGTAAATGTTTCAAATAAAAATACCATTTCAAGAAGAGAAGAAAAAGAAAAAGGAATACTTTTAAAAGTGATTTAGACCAAGGCAATCTTGTTACAGCTGTTTTTTCTTTCTGAATATAGAAATTTAACAGAATCATGTTGCTAAGATAAGTTTTAAATTTTTAGTCAGTGATATTCCATCTATCATTGGTGAGCAGAAGCAAGAAAAACACCTCTGAGGTCTTGGTTAACAGAGTTAGGGTCAAAAGACTCAGGGCAACTCTAAATATGTTGCTTTTTTTTTTTATTTCTCTACTGCAAATACCTGATAAGGCAATAAAAGAGTCTTTAAAATATGTATCTATGAGTGAGTTTGGTAAGCGCTTCTAGCCATTTTATTAAATTATAAACTACTTGAATATTATGTAAATGTTAAATGGCTGGCTCTTTATTCCAAGTTTCCTATGACATTGCCTCAAAACTAAATCCAAACTTGGACATGTTTGCCTCACACTCATTTTAAAAGCAGGTCACACATAATTTCATAGTATTTGTTAGAATCCACATCTTTCTGGCCCCACTCAATACAATCAATATTAAACTTAATATACTTCTAAATATAGAGCAGGAAATTATTGAGTTTGAAACAAGTATTTTTCTCTAGTTTGATCACAGAATAGTGGGTGCTTAAACTATTTTACACAAATCCTTTCACTTGAGATGAAGGAATTGACATATACTCATCTGACTGTTAGAGGTCTTATCGCCTTTATATGATCACAGTTGAAATATTTTTAGTTTTATAAAAATGTGCTTTGTAAAAAAGAATGGATTGTGACAATGATTTAGTTCTCTCTGAGCTATTTTTTAATATATATTTTTATTGATTTTAGAGAGGAAGGAGAGAGAGGTAGAAACATCAATGATGATGTCTCTTGCACGTCCCCTACTGGGAATTGAGCCCACAATAGATTCTCTGGCCTTTTCTTTTTTTCCCCCCCTACTTAAAAACTCACATTTTATAGATCAACACTTTGTAAGAAATATATTTTTCCAGTATGAGATAAAAACCTACATTATGTATGTTGGTAAATGCACACACTCTGTTATGCACTTGTATCTGTTTTATAGAATAGTGACAATGACCCCAAGAGTAGCGAATAGTGAGAGATTTGTAGCTAACAGAGTAAAAATAACTAAATAAAAACACCTTAAGATAGGAAACATTCCACTTTGTTGATTACAGTGACCTAGTAGTGACATGTAAGGTGTAAGGTGCAAGGCTGAGTAGCATGCAAATGTAGAAATACTGCTTCTGGGATATTAAAGTAGTCTTTCCACATCCAAGGTCATATTTAATATTACTTGTTCAATACTTTTTTATTAAATTGAGATTGATTCAGTCTTTTGTAAAAGTTCATCCTAAGCAATCATAATTTTAAAATGGGACATTTGATGAACCAGCTGTGTTTGCCAAAATGTAAAAGAAGCCCGTGGATTTATGTTAAATTAATATTTTTCTCTATATACTCAAACATTTATTTATTTATTTATTTATTTATTTATTTATTTTTTTTATATATCTTATTAATCTTCCACAGAGAGGAAGGGAGAGAGATAGAGAGTTAGAAACATCGATGAGAGAGAAACATCAATCAGCTGCCTCCTGCACATCTCCCACTGGGGATGTGCCCGCAACCCAGGCACATGCCCCTGACCGGAATCGAACCCGGGACCTTTCAGTCCGCAGGCCAACGCTCTATCCACTGAGCCAAACCGGTTTCGGCTATATACTCAAACATTTAAACTCATACATTTAAAGTATAATTTTAAGAAATAAAAAAAATTAAACACATAGGACTACATCAAGCTAAAATGTTTTTGCACAGAGAAGGAAACCATCAACAAAACAATAAGACAACCCACTGAATGGGGGAAGATATTTGCAAACCATACTTGCAAAATATATAAGGATCATACAACTTAACACACACAAACACACACACACACACACACACACACATAAACAATCCAATATCAAAATGGGCAGTTAGACATTTCTCCAAAGAGGACATACCAATGGCCCAGAAACATATGACAAGATGCTCAGCATCACTAATCATCAGGGAAATGCATATCAACAGAAAGGAGACCAGAATGCAGTCAATTCTAATGAAAGGAAGGGCTAGGAAGTTTTTAAGAGCTGGAATGGGAGTTCTCATGACAAGGAAACAAAACTTGCAAAAAATTTTTTTAGTATCTATATGACATCATGTATATTAACTAAACTTACTGCAATAATCATTTAGTAGTAGTACATGTAAGTTAAGTCATTATGTTATATTCCTTAAACTTATACATTGCTGTATGTCAGTTATATTTCAATTAAGAAAAACAGCAACAAAAAAATAACTGTTCTCTTGGCAATATATGTCAAATGAAAAAGAGAAAAAGTTGAAACATAACTCCCATTACTTTTACAAGTACACTCTTCTTAGCAATTGTAACTTTATAGAGTCCCAAATAATGGAGAAACAAAATAAAACAGGTTTCATTTAGAAATTTGGAACAGTAAGTTATTATTTTGTTGTTGTTGTTGATCCTCACCAGAGGATATTTTTTCCATTGGTTTTTAGAGAGAGTGGAAGGAGGGATTGAGGGAGGGAAGAGAGGGGGGAGAGAGAGAATCATCTACGGGGAGAGAGAGAACCATCTACATGAGGGAGATCCATGGATTGGTTGCCCCCTGCACATGCCCCCACCAGGGCCAGAGATGAAACCTGCAACCCAGGTACTTGCCAGGAGGGATTGAGGGAGGGAAGAGAGGGGGGCGAGAGAGAACCATCTACGGGAGAGAGATCCATGGATTGGTTGCCCCCTGGACATGCCCCCATCAGGGCCAGAGATGAAACCTGCAACCCAGGTACTTGCCTTTGACAGGGAATCGAACTCAGGACCCTTTGGTGCTAGGGCCAATGCTCTATCCACTGAGCCACATCAACCAGGCACACAATTATTTTAATGATGTCAGGAGACTACATGGAGATAAGCAATGCTTTCAAAATAGAATAAATTATGTGAGACATGCAAAACTATTTCTTTAATAAGAGTACGGCAGACCTAGCAGGTTTTATTTTCTTTTCTTCCCTTTATTTTCCTCTTCATTTTTCTTTAATGAGGTATGTACTTAAAATAACCCAATTTTATCTAAAAAACCTAAATTGCTTAAAGCATAAAAAAGTTAGGTTGGAGAATCAAAGATCATCTTTATTTGCTAATTGGTCTTCTCAATGGAGAAGAAAACTTTTTTGTATCTTCGTAATGGGAGGTAGTTCCGCAATTTGGAGCAAGCCTCCTCTGGAAGTTATGGTCCTATCCTCCCACAGTGACTCGGATATAGAAGCTCTATCTTCCTTGATGATTATATTTCAAAGGGATGATTCTTAGGTCATGGAGAAGAGTCTTGGATCATAAAACTGGCAAAAGTGTGAGCTGGGATGAACCATGGGGGTGAATATACCTTTTTGAATTAATGTTTTAATTTTCTTCAGATAAATAGCCAGAAGTAGAACTAATTGTTCAGTTCTGTTGTAGTTCTATTTTTATTTTTATTTTTGAATCTTTATAATAATATCTTAATAACTATACTGTGAAAGATGGTTGCAAGACTTATTATCATGGTGATTATAATATGTATATAAATATATAATCATGTACACTGAAATTGAAATAAAATTGTATGTCAACTATACTTCAAGAAAAATTGAGCTGGGAGAAGATTCACATTTCAAAGGGCCAGAGAAAATTTTTCAATTGCAAGTTTTCTAAAGTAAATGCTCTGGAGAAATAGAGGTCAGGTGACTGTCATCAGGAGCACCTGTCCAGAGTTTAGCCAAAGTGAGGGAAACATTAGTCCATTGTGTTGGTTGTTTGTTTTTCTTGTTTTTTTCTCTCTCACAGGACCGTGCACAAAATCTGAATGAACGGCGAACCACCACCACCACCCTCACAGTGGATGTTCTGGATGGAGATGACTTGGGACCAATGTTTCTTCCTTGTGTCCTGGTGCCAAACACTCGTGATTGTCGTCCGCTCACCTATCAAGCTGCCATACCTGAGCTGAGAACTCCGGTAAATATACCGTGTTCTTTTCATCTTCACTTTCACCTCTTTAACCGCAGTGAGATTCTGATCAAGTATTTTGCAGACATTAAGTGAGAATAGCAAACTGCATTCACTTTATGGGTGCTGAAAATATTGAGGCCCAAAGCCTGTTTTGGGGACTATGTGCAAACTTTTGGTCACAGTGCATAATTATGTTATTTACAAAGTAGAAAGTATGTTATGAAGCAACAGATCAGTTTACCCTGAGTTCAGTTCCCAATATGTTCTGTGAAACTCTGAAAACTAACTCCAGCATTTCCTTAAATTCACATGTAAAAATGCAGTCCAAAATCAGAGGACACACAGGTCAAAAAGATATTCTTTAGCCTCTTTAGGTTCAGAATTGTTACTGGAGGTTATGCTTGGCTATTTGGAGATGGAAGCTAATGAATCCTGAATGCAAATATTTATTCCTTAAATATATTTTAAAGAATTAGGAAGGTAAGGTATGAATACATGTTTTCTACACTTGATTCTGCATCTGGCTTATAAAATTCTAAAGGAACTATATTAATGATGGAGAACATTAAACTTTTATTTGAAATGCTTAATTGAAATAATGAGAAAAAGTAATATGTTCAGTATTATTTTATTTTTTGAGTTAATGTATATCGTTGGTGTACCAGTGAGATCCCAAGAGAAGGACACACTGTTATAATAATGACTAAAATCAATGATCTGTCTGACTGCCTAACAGTGCTTGATGTATTGAAAGAAGTAACAGAAGGCAGAGGTTGCATTGGGAAGCATTGGATTGATTTCATAAAGGATTTTTGAGCCTCCCTTCCTCTTTCTTCCAGATTACAGATTAAACCTCTTTCATAGTTACATAGCTTCATGCTAAAGACAAGGCTATGCTCCAGATTTGGGGTAAAAATATAAATTATAATAATGACTAATGGTTCAGTTCATCATAAACTGTGCTCAACTCTACCAAAATATTAACTGCAATCCATTTGCATAGTAACCATTGTTATGGTACGTTACAGATGAGCTTTCTGAGGTACAAAGTTTAACTAACTTTTTCTGTGGCCTTACAACTAACAAGTAAAAAGTATTTTCCTTTAAAATCATGCATCTGGAATCAAATGTTATGCTATAAATTCCAAAATGGTCAAATTTTATGCTTCATCATAATTTTAACAGATTGACCCATTCTTTGACATTCTGTGAAACAAAGAGGATTTTAATTTTACATACTTAAATAATTATGGCAAATGTTTATCCATTCAAGGTATGTTTTTATTGCCAAAAAATGTAAATATGCATACTTGGAAAATTAGGCAATTGTTCTGATTATTTGTGGCTGCATAACAATTCACCTAACCTTAATGGCTTCAACAAGAATTTTCAAATTTACTCATAAAGCTGCAATTTTGGCAGACTTGAAGGAACGCCTTGTTTCTGCTCCACATAGAATCGCCCGGGGCACCTTGACTGAGAGCTGGGTCCCACTTTCAGAGTGCTTAACTCAGCTAGTTGATTCTGGCTGTTGTCACAAGCTCAAGCATGGCTGTGGACTCCAGGCTTTATTTTCACTCAGTGTGGGCCTCTCCTAGGCTCTCTGAGTTCCCTCCCAGCCAGGCGCCGGGTTCCAAGAACACACTCCCTGAGAGAATTAGGCAGCACTTTTATGAACTAGCCTTGCAATTTGCTTTGCTCTTCTGTTGTTGTCAAACCTCTGCCAGATTCAAGAAATAGAATGATATGCCATCCCATAAAGGGACCTGTGCCTCAATCACACACAAAAAGATTACATGGGGAAAGAAATTTTACTGTGGCAATCTTTGGAAAATAAAATCAGTCATTGCCCAGCCGGTGTGGCTCAGTGATTGAGCATCGGCCTATGAATCAGGAGGTCATGGTCTGATTCCCTGTCAGGGCACATGCCCCGGTTGCGGGCTCAATCCCAGTGCGGGGTGTGTGGGAAGCAGCTGATCAATGATTCTCATCATTGATGTTTCTGTCTATCTCTCCTTCTCCCTTCTTCTCTGAAATAAAATGTGTGTGTGTGTGTTTTGTTTTTTTTAATCAGTCATAGTGCTGATAATGAGTTTCCCTGTGCTCTTCCACATACTATCTTAAAACCCCTCTGATTACTTATCGTTTAAGAACTGGAAGCAGTTCTTGAGTTTCATATTCAGATTGCTGTGTTGATCTCAGTCCTTTCATTCTTTTCTTTTCCATTACATATTTTGCTAAAATTGCTGGAAATTTCAATAAGTAAGATCTTGCTATTTAGAGCGAAAGGACTAACCATTTATGTCAGCTTAACAGGACATGATGACTCTAATTACATACTTGCTGATCCTTTCCTGAATTAATTCTTTAAATTTTGAAGCTTTGACACCTGCTCACCTTCTTTGTAAAATTTTCCACCAATTACCTCAGTGGTATTTTTGACTTAAGAAACCATTCTAAGTTTCACTACAATGCTTGTAGAATTTATGAGCTCAGAAAAACTTTGAAAGGTAGACTAATACAGGTTTTCACTCACGAAGCTGGACATACTAAAAATTAAAATGTAATGTTCATTAAAATGTAAATAATCATGTGTTTAGAGATAAACTTATCTAATAAGTGTTTTACATGTTTTTCTACTTCTGAAAAGTATCTTCAGAAAAATTAATGTCTTCACAAACACTAAGATTAATATTATATGAATATGTAATATTCAAATAAATTTGGTGTCTCAAAGGTTCTAAAGTGAATTTTAGTCCTATGCTAATTATTTCTTTACTAGAGGCCCAGTGTACAAATTTGTGTATCAGTGGGGTCCCTCGGCCTGGCCTGCGTGATTGGGCTGAAACTGGCTCTCTGACATCCTCTGAGGGCTCCCAGATTGAGAGAGGGTGCAGGCCAGGCCGATGGACCCCACGGTGCACAAATGGGGGTTGGCCAGCCGGGGAGGGACCATGGGAGGGCTCCAGAGCATGTCTGGCCCATATGCTAGTATCTCAGTCTTGATCAGCCAGACCCCAGCAGGAAACTAACCTACCAGTTGGAGTGTCTGCCCCCTGGTGGTCAATGCATGTCATAGCGACTGGTCAACTGGTTAACTGTCTGCCCCTTGGTGGCCACTGCACATCATAACAAGTGGTTTAGTGGCCTTAACTTTTCATTAGCATATTATACTTTGGTTGAACGGCCGACCAGACACTTAGCATATTAGGCTTTTATTACTAGTGCACATCATAGCAAGTGGTTTAGTGGCCTTAACATTTCATTAGCATATTATACTTTGATTGGTTGAACAGCCGACCAGACACTTAGCATATTAGGCTTTTATTACTAGTATATAGGATTATTTTAATAAGTATCTATTTGACCCTAATGGATGGTGTATTGTATGCTACTTGAGGAGACTTGACAACTAGGATGAGATAAAATGCTTCTCATACTGGTATATTGTTTGTATTCTCACTTTCTGACTCTTTTAAAGTTATTATCCCTAAGTAGTTGAATTTTTCTCATACTGTGAGAAAATTCTGCAGAATTTGGAGAGTATAGAATCCATACCTCTATGTTCTCCATTTTCTATTGAAGCACAGAGACATAGTAAAACCCTTATACATTTTTTTTCAGAATTGAACAGGTGTATACTGGTTGGTTGGTTGGTTGGTGGTTTGTTTGTTTGTTTTTTTCTGAGTAATTTGTTCCTGAATAGAAACAAAACAGTATTAATATGAAAATATTGGCATACTATCTGTGTTTACTGTGTATACCTTCCTTTATTTATTATGCCTGTATTAGTTGCCTACCAGACAAGTCAATTAGCAGATAGAAAACACACTCTTGAGTTTCTCTCCATCCCTGTTTTAAAGCCTGGGGTTGGATACCAAGATTGTTTAACTACAAATATCCCCACTGTACTCTTTGCCATAAAGAACTCCGGTTTTCATGTAACTGTCGAACCTACCTCCTCTGCCTTATTTATGGTGTTCTCTCCTTCCAGGGAAGCTTTCTCAGTTATTGCAAGAGGGGTGGTGATTTGCAGTGATGTACAACATAATTACCTCTTGGCTCATGCTCATTAAATGTGTTACAATCTGGGAACTCCCTCCTCTCTTGTGTCTTATTAAACTACTGGTTCTTTTCCTCCCCAGGATGGCCCCGGGTTTCTCCTCTTAAATCATCAATGCCTTTTTTTTAAACTGAATTTCTCTTGGATTGATTGATTCATTCATTATTAAGTCTTAGGGATACATTTAGATTTCTATCCTTTACAACTCTTTTGTAAACTAAATCTGTATCAGTGAGTGTCATTTTTCTCCCTATAGGGATGATTTAGATGTTCTAGATATGTTTTCTGACTTGGAATTTCGCATGAATTCCAAGCTTATCTCTACTACTTTTTCTATATGCTTTTAACTATATTTCCCAGAAATGCTGCATTATCTTCTCTAATGCATTCTGATGAATCCATACTTATTCTCATGTTGTTACTGCTTTGGGGGTCGTTGTTGATTTGGACCTAGACTTCCATGACCCCCTAACCCAAACTCAATCAACCTCCAAAGATACTCTCTGCACTGCCTCTAAAATGTCACTCAAATACTTACACAGCCAAAATACCCACTTACGGATATGCTCTCAACTCCGGACCCCCGGCCTCTGGTCTCTCCCACCTTCCAATATCATCTCACTGAAGGCAGTTCTTTGTTTGAAATACAATTGTGATCTGAGTGCTCACCGATTAAAATTTTTTTAAAACTTCATTTTTTTACTATACATCAAGTAAGTCCCAAGCTTTTAGCATATCATTCAAAGTAATTTTATGTCTGACCACTTTATAATCTTATCTCTAATTTGCATGATGCAACTTCTCTTGAAACACAGAGCTTTGTATGTAGATACTTAACTTCTATAATAATTACCCTGCCTTTTCTTCACTTTCTTTCACATATTGATATTTGTTATTCAAGTTTCTGAAATAATAGGTTTTCAAAATTAAGCTTTTCTCTGTG